TTTTATATTTCCAAGTTGACCAATTTTTGCCATCAAAAAGTCCTACTTGCAGTTTGGTAAACTCCATTATTTATATTTCCTCACAAATAATCTTGAAGAGGTTTACAAACAACACAAATATTTAATTTTGACTTTTGCAAAATAAATTAACATTGACTCAAGACAAACATGAAATTAGTTAGACATAGACATAGACATAGACATGTTTTATTCATGAATAGGGTACAAATTATACAATGTACATCTCAATCGTCAAATACATTATATGGTCTAGTAGCATTTAAATCAAAACAAAAAATAATTAGTTAAATCTATTTTATTCTAAGGATTTAAACAAATAAGTCAAATAAAAATGCCATGTTGAATGAGATCAGGCAGACAGGAATTCTTCGGTACTGTAAAACTCACCATCCACCAAATAATTTTTCAGTAGATCCCAAAACCATTAGAACCCAACCTTGAACTGCACTGCTTTACTTCTTCAGGAAGCCTATTAAAGAAAAATTGGCCCGAAAAATTTGCATTCCTTTCAGAAAGGGTCAGACGATGACATGGAGTACGAAGATCTCCTCCATGCCTAGTGGGGTATCTATGACATTGACCAACCGATGGAATATCCTTCAGATGATTTACTGCAGACATTATTGCTCTGTAGATGAATATAGAAGGCAAAGTTAAAATGTTGTTCTCCCGGAAGACTCCTTTGCATGAATGGAGTGGTGGTAAGCAATTGAGGATACGCACTGCCCTTTTTTGTACGGTAAAGACCTTATCACCATGGGAAGAACCACCCCAGACTTCAATACCATAAGTCATGACTGAGAAAAAACAACCATAGTAGACTGCAACTAACATTTCCCAGTCAAGAAGAGGTTGCAACGTCCTAAGTGCATGGCAGATGCGGTTCAACTTGCAACAAAGCTGTGATACATGATTGGACCATGACAACATTTTATCCACAGTTAGACCTAAAAATTTCACAACAGAGGACTCTTCTATCTCGAACTTATTCAACGAGACGGATTCAGGGATCTTATTGAGAGTTAGGAATTGCATGAAAACGGACTTATCGGAGTTTAGTCTAAGATTGTTCAGCGATAACCAACTTAAAAGTGAACTAACTGACTCTTCAACTCGAGATTGCAAATTGGAACATGGACCTCCAAACAGTAAGGTTGTGTCATCCGCATAGAAGATTGATTTAGCTGAATGAAGATGTGCTGATAGATCATTAATATACACGATAAAAAGCAATGGTCCGAGAATACTACCCTGAGGAACCCCGAACTTGCATTCAGCGAGATGCGACCGAAATCCTGAAATCTCAACAAATTGCATTCTATTTGAAAGATACGATCGGAACCAAGCTAGTGGAACTCCTCAAACACCATATTTTTCCAGTTTCTCACAAAGAATATTGTGATTAACTGTATCGAAAGCTTTCGAAAGATCACAGAATACACTCAGGGCTGGTTTGCGCTGTTCAAGGTTGGATAATACATCCTGAACAAACTCAACAATTGCTTGAGTGGTTGAGCGACCCGCTCTGAAGCCATATTGGTTCTGTATGAGAATGTTATTCATGTCTAGATGATTCATTAACCTGGAATACATAACCTTCTCCATTACCTTTGATAAAGTGCAAAGAAGAGCAACCGGCCTATAGTTGTTAACATCGCATTTGTCACCTTTCTTGAAGACCGGGACAATCTTTGCTGTTTTGTAAATATCGGGGAAAATACCTGATGACATGGAAGCATTAAACAGATAAACTAAAGGGTCTAAAATGGATGTGTACATTTGCTTTAAAAGAGAGCTGGATATTTCGTCAGAGCCTGTAGATGTTTTTGATTTAAGCGATTGAATTGCTTGCTCTATCTCTCTGGAAGTAACTGGAGACAAAAACAAAGAATGCATTGGAGGGGTCTGCTGGACAAGATTGACTGCAGTAGACGATTCACCGAATGTAGATCCAACAAAAGAACCTGAGAAATGTTTCGAAAAAAGATTTACTACTTCAGAAGGTGACTGAACCAATGAATCCTGGGATTTTAAGATGGGTAAAGAAGAAGGTTTCAACTCACAGGTCTCTCTACGAACAATATGCCAAAGGGCCTTTTGCATGCAGTCAGCTTTCTCTAATTCACATGAGATATCTGTACGTTTTTCCTGAATCAAAAGCCTCCTGAACAGTTTTTTTCTCTCTTTCAAAAGTGCTTTCAAGGCTGGATCCTTAGTATTTCGGACGAGAATACCCAAATCGACATTACTATTGGCAAAATCTTTCAACTCCTTACTCAATGGTTTTTTGTTTCTCCCCCTTTTTTTCTTAATTTTCTTTAAAGGAAATGATCTATTAAAACATGTTTGGACAATACCATGAAAAAATTTGAATTTACTGTTTACTTCATTGACCTGGTGCAATCTACTCCAATCTACCTGAGACAAAATTTCCTTAAAATTAGAAATATTACGTTTACAGAAGGATCGTTTTTTAACAAATAATTCTGTTGGTTTGCAATTGGTTCTTATTGATACTAGCTGAGAATCATGATCTGATAATGTGTTTATAAATGAACGACATGAAACTATTTCAGTGTTTAAATTGGTAACAACATTGTCAAGGAGGGTTTCACTGGTGTCAGTGATTCTAGTGGCATGATTAACTAATTCACGTAAATTGAAAGATAAAAAGATATTTCTTAGCTTCTCAATACTTGGATTAACAGAATTAAGAAAATCGATATTCCAATCTCCACACAGTACAATTAACATATTATTTTTCAATAGATGATGAATTAACTTTTCAAATGAGTTAATAAATTCTTGTTCATTATTGTGTGGAGGTCTGTACAAACAAACAATTAAAAAATTCAAGTCATCATTAAAAACAATACTATTTACAATTTTAATATTTACAACGCAAAACTCGAAGGAATTGGCTTTACATAGCTTCTGAACCATGTTATTTCTATAATTTGACACTTTAAGATTAAACATACTATGGTTGTTATAGTAGATACAAACACCACCACCCAAACCTGAACCTCGACAAAATTTAGAGACACAAGTAAAATTAGGAACAATAAGAGGCTGAGTTAGTGAATTTAAACCACGGGCTTCTGCTACCATGTTGAATATTCCGAGAATCTACAAATTATCACTAACTAGAAAACTATAAAAAAAAGTTATTTTAACAAAAACCTGAATGATGTTGTTTAATCAAATTCAACTTTAAGACTAACAAATCATCTGTTATTAAACATTAATCTATATATTAATTTGAAACTGTTTTTCTTTGTGACAGCTAATTTGAGAGAACGGCTAGGCGTAGAAACTCGGTAGAGGTGTCCAAAGAAAGGGCTTGGTCTGTAGATGAGCCATCAAAAGAGAAACATGGTAAATTCCCTTGGGGCTCTGCCCCAGTGGCCTTTAAATTCCAATCCCATGTTATTCTTATGGGGGGAAAACGGGATTTTGTCACAGCTAATTTCAGAGAACGGCTGGGTGTAGATACTTGGTAGGGGTCTCTAAAGAAAGGTCTTGGTCTGTAGATGATCCATCAAAAGAGAAACGAGGTAAATTCCCTTGGGGCTCTGCCCCAGAGGCCTTTAAAGTCCCCTCAGCAGATTTGTTTACATTATGACCATATGTATAATTTTACACTACTTTTTAATGAAACAGCTGTTAATATTTAAATTGTGATTTACTGAATTTGTCAAAATGAAGTATTTGCGAATCGATTTTCTTCTGCATCGTGTCATGTTTTGCAATTTGATGTTGTAATGTTATAATGTGCAATCCAAATCAGTAGAAAATCCTAATATCACAGTAACTTTTAAAATTATTTCTTATGGAGTTAACTTATATCTATTGTATGGGTTGATTTCTGCCTTTTTTTACCACTTCTTGGAGATTGTACGTAGGCGTGTTGCACGTACAGTAGATGATGTTCTTTGGCGTAATGCATCTGTAGACGATACTTGGGTTGGTGTAATTATTACAATGGAAAAAAGCGAGAAATTCTGGACAATTTGACATAGGCCTACTAAAAATAAAACTGAATTAGAAGAAATAGAAATAATGTTTTTTCCCCTTCATTTATAATCGTTATTATAGAGAACCTAATGCGGCTATGAGTGGCAAAGATTTGTAGAAAACTCTAAAAAACAAGATCAGCTTTTAAAAAAAGATAACATATTTACAAACAATTTTGGTTATATCTAACTGTTGTGTACATCGTGAGTATTTCCATAATCTTTGAGTCGACTTTTATAAATCAGTCATCGGAAATTATGACTTTTATTCGTTTAAAAAATCCCCTGTAATGCTTCAAAATTGCTCGAATTTGAGCAACAGGTACACTAGTTAATATTAATCACAGACTTGTAGAAACATGATTAGAGATATATTACTAAATCTCAACAGGACTGAGCCTTGTGGGACGCCCCATTTAACATTCTTTTCTTGTGACGTATACTTAATACTTGCTATTTGTTTACGACTGTTAAGGTGAGATGAAAATTATTGTAGAGATGGCCCTCGAAACCCATACTTGTGTAATTTGATATTGAGAATTTTAAAATCAACACAATCAAATGCCTTGCTTAGGTCACAAAAGGTGCCCTGAGCAAATAATTTATTTTCAAATGACTCATGAATTTGATGAATTAGATTATCAAGAGCATTAATAGTGGACATTCTCTTTCTAAATCCAAATTGGGATACATTAAAAATTTTGTGATTGCCAATTGTGTGACAGACTCTCAATTTTCAACACTCGCAAAAATAACTGGAATTATCAAAACCGTGCTGATGGGTGACGTTGAAACAAACTCCTCAGTAGATAATCTGATGACAATATTGGAAGCTATAACACTATAACACCCTCGCTATTCATTGAATATTCAATCTCTATACAAATGTTTATAACTCACATAAATATTCTTTACCTATTATGAAAAGTGATTTGTTTTTAATTAACATTGGTTATTTTTCAGCAAGTCATTGTACAGCAATTGTATGGGAATGTTGCCAAGATCATCAATGAACTCAAGAGAAAAGATTCTGGATATTCAATAATTGTAAGTAAGCAAGCGTGATTATGTAATAAAACAACTCATCCGTCTAAGAGGTATAAGATCCGATAACAGACAAATTGAAAGTTAATTTAAATTGTAAACATGAATTTTAATTCCAATGCAATGTTATACACATAATACCCTGTCACAACAAACCTGCAGACTAAGTGAATTTCCATTCGCCTGATTGGACTTTGAGTAAAATATTTCCTTAAAATTGTCTGATTTATTGTTTATTCAATAGCATTAGATATAATGAGTACGTAGGTTTGCTGCTACAGAAAAGGTGATCAATTGTGTGTTTCAATGAAACGTTAATAGCGTAGTAGGAAATCAATAAATTTGCCTAATTTGATCAATGTATAAACAAGCACTTTACAGCAGTTTATTTATTCTCCATTACCATTAGGCATGCACCAACACGTCAATATACTAAATTATTTGTTTTTAAAGCTCTACAAGATAATTTAGAAAGAAATTTAGAAAGAAATGATTTTAGGGCCAAAAATGGGAAAATATTGATTTTCACCCAGTAAAACCCCCATCAAAACCCCGTTCCCATAGCCCAATCATGCCGGTTTGCGAACTAGTTCGAACATACGTTTGACTAATTGATTATGATTTTCACTCGAGCTATCATGCTATCAGTCACATGTATATTTATATATACAGGGTGACAATCAAGTCTTAGGACGACTTTATGACTTTAAAACAAAAAGAGTTATTACAACCATATTTTGCGTGTCATTACTGGTAATAGTAAGCTACTTTTTTGTGTACATGGTGATTGGATGTCACCTAGAGATGGCCCATAGGGAGTAAGCTGAAAATCTCAAAGGTAAGCATAGGTTCATACGTACATCAAATAAAGGTCTTGTTGAACAAACAATGTCGCAAACTGGGCCTCAAATCGACTACCAAGTCAAAAACAGGAGCCGTCCAAAGATTTCTTGAATTTGCCATTTTGAATCTTTAAACGGCTGCAATTTTTTAAATCAGTTGTTCTTTTAAGCTCAAATTTGTGGCATTAGGCCGGCCACACACAGAACCAGGCAAGGCAGGGCGTGACAGGGCATTTTGCCCCAGGGCGTCTTGTGCGACAGGAATTGCACGGGTGCTTATGGAGCTCCACACACAGGACCGGGCGAGGCAGGGCACGTCGAAAAGACGCCCCCGGGCGCCCTCGGGGCAAAATGCGAAGGTCTTCAAAATTATGCCCCGAGGCAAGTCGCTGCCGGGCAGAACTTTCTGCGCATGCTCGGTCATGTGATTTATTCCCTTAATGGCTAATTTTGATAAGGATTATTTTACAACTGATACAATTTACATACAACACTAACAATTTATACGACCAAAGAAAAAAAAAAGAAAAAAAAATCCTTTATAATTTTCAGGTTTATGGGGGCTAAACTTTTTACTTGACGTGCCCTGCCTCATTCTGTGTGTGACAGCAACAAGACAGGGCGTCTCGTCGTGCCCTGTCGCGCCCTGACCCGCCTGGTTCTGTGTGTGGCCGGCCTTATATTCTACTAATAAAGACCTTTACCTACGACTGTTTTTTAAACTTGCTGTTTCAGTTCAGTTCTTAGAATTGGAAAGATTCACTTAACAGCATAGTTTACTTATTTAACAACATTTTTTTACTTAACAACACGAGTAACGGACCAATAGGTTCAAGTATTGAGAGAAAAGAAGTAAAGTTTTAATGCTTCAAACTTCAACTAATCAGCTGTTAACCAATTTAATTGTTAATGAGTGGTGCAAATAGTGGTTGGTACAATGCGTCGTTGCATCACTGTCAATGGCTATCAGAGGTTATAAATGAAAAATGAAAATATAACCTCTCTTAGAAGTTACGAGTAGTGATGGTTAGCAATTAAAAAAACAGTTGTAGGTAAAGAACAAAGAAGTATAAGAAACTCGAGTAAATGGTCTTAACGACACTCTTAAAAGTTTAAGGACACTCGCCAAGGCTCGTACCTTAAATTTCTACTTGTGTCATTAACACTATCTTTACGCAATCCTTGCGTTGACTAATATTAATTTATATGAATCAACTACACATCAAATTAATGTTTATGATTTTATTCTGTCTTCAAGCCTTCAATACCCCCTGATGTTTTTTTTGTCCTAGGATGCTAGGCACAAGCCCGGGATTGTTTTTTACATTACTTCAGGCTAGACCTAGGGGTTGCGGCATTATCACTTGGATCAAATCCATCGGACCTCTTGGACCTAAGCCCTGTGCTCTAACCACTAGATCAGCTCGCTCCCCCTGAGGAGGTACCCTTAGCATATAATGGTATTGCAAATTCAATTAATCTTTGAACAGCTATAAGTTTTTCCTCTATTGTCCATTTGGGGCAGTGGCGGCTAGCCCATAAGGACTCTCGGACGCCGCCGTCCCAACAATACATAAATAAATTAAATTTCAATATTCTTCGGTTGAATTAAATTAAAATTACTTGAGTACTTTAAACAATATACAACATAAATATCTATCTATATCTATATCTATCTATCTATATCTATCTATCTATCTTCTATCTTCTATATATATAATAGGCTAAGCCGTTTTTTGTTAATCGAACTCCTCCGTTATTATTTGCCCAATTTTGACGTTAGAGGTCTCAAAATAAAGGTTAAAACATGTAGTTGTGCCCAACGGTATTAGATTTTTGATAAAGTCGTTGGTTAGGGCGTCAGAGGCCCTTAAAGTCAGTTTTTTCTCCATAAGGATAACATGGGAGATATTTTTAATTTATAAAAACATATGTTTTTAGTTGAAAATAGTAAAAGTCTACTACATAAAAAATTAGTGTTTATTATGACTGTTAATGTATATTAAATGTTATCACGTTTGGTAACCAATGTATATTAAAGTATACTAATAATGGATCATACTACTTTATTTTAAAGCTGGGAATAGTAAAATTTAGTTGAGAAAAAGTTACCATGTTTTACAAAACCGTAGGCTACTGTAATATCTATTTAAAATCACAAATCTTTGACATTCATTAATTTGACACGAAACAGCTGATCTACCAGACAATTTATTTATAAATCAAAACAAAACAAATCCTATACTACTAATTCATGTTTGTTGCTATACAAATTTTTTTAAATTATTTTTTGTGTACCTATCCTAAAAATGGGACCCCAGAAGATTTGGCTGCACATTGTTCAGGTCTTGATACAATAGCCTATCCCTTGCTTTTCCCTTATGGAGGGATCGACTCGACAACTACACACCGGAGGCCCACAGGCTATCTGTTAGGCTTCAGTATTCTGCTGTGGTGGTAAGGTTAAACTTCAATATATAGTTGAAATTTTTACCAGAATTGAAGGTGAACGTCTCGGTTTCATTCATAGGGAACAGTCAAAACTTCGAGCAGAGCTATATATGAAACTTCATGACGCAATACGTACACGAGCAGGAAATTAAAGAGTTCAAATAGGCCAAAGCTGATAGGAAGCTGATGGATTCCCCATTTTGCCAGCAAAAATGCTTGGAGTTGGATGCGCTGATGATTTCATCCAACCAAACGTCGTTGAAAGTATACAAAATGGTCAAAATGAAAGACAAAGCCATAGCTCCAAAAACAGTGACTGTGATTTGATCAACAACAAAGTCTTGAAAAAATTGCCAGCTGAGCCCAAGGTGTTCGAAATCATTTATAGTTTGCTTGGAGATAATTTAAACGCCCATCTAGAATGCCCAGCAGAGTTTTTAAACAATATGGAGGTCGGTGGATTGCCAAGACACAGATTAATTTAAAAAACGGGGCAATGGTTTTATTGATGAGGAATATCAATACACCAAGAAGGGCCTCATTAATGGAACAAGACTCCAAGTGGCCAAAATGGTTAACAATTTAATAGAATGTAAAAGTCCTAACTGGAACAAGTGAGAGGGGACATATTTTGATTCCGAGGATAAAAATGTACCCGTTGGAAACAAACTTACCATTTAAAATGGAAAGCTGCCAATTTCTGTTAGCTTTATCATTTGCAATGATAATCAATAAAGCACAAGGGCAATCACTTAAAAGAGTAGCACTGCTCTTACCCAGACCAGTTTTCAGTCATGGGCTTTATGTTGCTTTAAGTAGGGCTACATATTTTGATGGTGTGCCCATATTCATCGCGGAAAATTCTGACCAGGGTAATTTTCCTGAAGGTGATTGATTTCACAACTAAAAACTTAGTAAGTTATTCAAGGAAGTACTTTTGTAAATAAAATAGGATAGAAAATGGATTCTCTACTTTCCATCTAAGGCTTCATTCATTACTGTATTTTATTTTCGACTTAGAATCAATATATAACACGATGGATTTGTTTTCTAAATTGATATGTTGTTTTGCGGCGCGATGAGCAGCACGGGTTCACTAGTATCAAATAATTTGATAATTCAATTCAGTAAAGACTCATTTTCGATCGTCGCTTGATTAGTACGGACGGCGGCTAGACTGTCCCAATCTCAATACATGTAGTCTTATGGCAGAACAACCGAACAGCGCTGAGGGTGACATGACGTCATTCCAATGCTTTAGTATAGGCGCTATGGGGAAGTGCCCAAAGATGCGCACGCACTCTTAAATCAGGGCAGCCACCACAATCTGGATATTCTGTATTGCAAGCTACCGTTATGATGGGTAGAACTGATGTTGGGGTACCTGTTTGTCATAACACAAACCATCTATCTAATTAATAAATACCCCCGCTGCAGCAAACCTGCCGACTAAGCGAATTTCCATTTGCCTGGATTGATTTTCAATTAATCTATTAAATTACCATTTATGTTTAACAAGTACCTAGATTAGCTGCTACAGGGAAACTAATAAAGTGTGTTTTTTATTAATACATCAATAGCTTTTTATGAAATAAATAAATCCACCAAGTTTGATAAAAATATATCCATAAACAAGCCAACTACAAAATTTTACAATATTCTCCGTAAGAATAACATGGGAATTTTAAATTCACAATTTTTTGAATTTTCTCCCTAACCAATGACCGTACAAAAACACTTTGATATACTAAATTATTTGTTTTTTTAAGCTCTTTAAAAAGGTCTCGAGAAAAATTGAAAAATTTTGTGTTTTAAGGGTAAAAAATGAGAAAAACCCATTTTTACCCCATAAAACCCCCCGTTAAACTCCGTTCCCATGGTCCAATCATGCTGGTTCGCGAACTCATTCAAGTTTATCCCGCCTTACACCTTCAAACCAAATTTTATCAAAATCGGACAAAAATTACTCAAGTTATCGTCCGGACGGACACACACACACACATATATATATATATATATATATATACAGGGTGCGGCAAAAGTCAGCGTACCGAAAGTGCAGCTAAACTACGGCTAGTATTAAACATAACTATAACAGTATTATTGTACCTGTTACAGAAGCTGCGCAAAGTGACCACCTCGATTGTATATACACATGTAGCACCTATTCAACATTGGTTTGCAAATTCTTTTACATAGTTGTGGTGTGAATATAGCATCAAAATGTTCCGTTATCAATTCTTGTAAATGTTCTAAACTTTGGGGTTTCTCTGAAAACACGTTAGGAGGTTTTGTTCCAGAAAACTGTTATCGATCAAATTTCCACAAATTTTTCAAAAGAAATACTCGTTGGTCTACAGATAGTTTGCGATTCATAATTATAAACACTGATGTATAGAAGTTAATAGAACAAGCATTACACTCACGAACTTCACGGTCACAGACGGAATATTGACCAAACAAAAAATCCTTGATAAAGAATAAACAAAGGCAAAATAAAACATGACTTGACGTTAGATTAGATAAGGAGTGAAAGTAAAATATAAAAATAGCACCAGAGGTAAAACCAAATTTCATCAAAATCTGACAAAAATTACTCATGTTATCGTGTTCACGGACATATATAAACATTTTTTAATAAATGGTGTTTTTGGCCTCTGGGTACATCAAACTGAAAAAGTAAATCGGTCCCGGGCCTAGGTCTTACCATGAGACGGTAATAGCTACTTCCCTAAAAAGGGAAATTCGCTTAATACTTCCCTATAGGAAAATTCGCTAAAAATAAGACTAGAAAACAACTGAGCTAACCTCGAAATGTTATTTTGGTGTGGTGTTGTTGTTTAGTGATTAATGAATAGTGATGTAGAAGTACTGTTCATGTGTGTATTTAAGTAAAATACTAACTGTATACTTTATTAAATTGATTTCACATCCAGTTTAGTTAAAGGTAGGCTAGGCCCTGCAATTTTTGATTAATTAATATTAATTATTGAATTACAATGGATTTTTAAGTTACCGGAATAAGTCTAAATGCAATTTGTTTTCGTAAGCTGTTTTACTCATTTGGCTTTCTAGTCCTTATTACCTTAGATATTTTATGGAATATCATCATTATTTTGTTAATGTTATTTTCCAGACCCATTTGCAGACACTGTTATTAAGTTAAATACAATAGCAGCCTTGGAAACAAGTTTAGATAAATAAAATTTTTATATATCGTAGGCTAGGCCTATTGTATGTTTTACAAATTTGAACCTTAAATATTTTTAATTCTTTGACAAACGTGATTGATGTTAGCCTTTCATTTACATAAGCAGAGCCCTTCCACCACCTATGAACACCAGCCGCTACTGATTTGGGGTCAGGTTTGCTGCATTTTTTTTAGTTTAACAAGACCATTAAATCATTTAGATTTTCAACTTACTCCCTATGGACCGTCACCTATGGTTGAAATCCGATCACTATGTACACAAAAAAGTAGCTTACTATTACCTGTAATAATATGGCAAATTTGGTTGAGATATACCTTTCGTCTTAAAGTTATTAAGTCGTATTAAGGCTTAAATGTCACCCTTATAAGTTTGAACGGATGGTATTTTTGGCCTTTGGGGACATCAAAACAAAAAGTAAATTGTTCCTGGATCCAGGTTTTGCCATATGAGACCTACGGTAATAGTTTATTCTCTATGTGCAAAAAGTAGATGGATAGTAATAAAGATTTACTACAAAACTTTCTTTGTTAAGATAAAACCAGAATAGAATCAAATCAACAGAAAATAATGAAAACCACAGATATATTAACAAAGACTGAATTATTGCATTCTGAAGTCAAGCCAAGTAATCTACTTGAGTAAACAAGTTGTTTGTTCTGGAAATAACCATTTCTATTTTGAGAAAGCAGTGAAACTTCCTGAGTCATTTTGAGATATCCGATATTAATTTGTATAGTGGCCAGAAATGCATTTAGGTTTTTTTTTTTTGAAATATACGACTTTAGAAAGCGTAATTTTAATTCCAATTTAATTATATTTGAAAACCTATAAGAGAGTGTGTAACACAAAACGCGACCAAACTAAGCTATTTCTGATTCAATCAATCCTTTTATTTTGGCCAGTGTAATTTTACACTGTCAATTTTGTTTGGCCAACTGCAAACCACTAACGCCTCAAAACAATTTGTGTTTTGTTCTGTCAGATGACTTGATGGGTGTGTAGGAATAGCAAGGGATATAATAGAAGGGGATTAGCAGCATTGTTATGGTAATATTATAAATCTTTGTTTGACAAGAAAATCTCTGAGTTATTTAATCTTTGTCATAATTTTGTTTGTATAGTGTGTGTTAGCAGAGTCGGTATTAGGTAGTGTGTGGCTCTGTGCAAACATGCAAAGCAGGGTCCCTTACTATTGAGTTATACCCCCAATCGCCATATTGTTGCTTATGCTTATAAATTTCTGCGATCTCAGCAACAATTTTAATGATTTTTACGCTCCCAGCGGCTAGTGTGAGTAGTAATTTTACAGAACACCACAAAAATAGGACAAACAGCGGTTATTGGGGATTATTCAAAAACAAAATTTGCCAAGACTTGAATATTTTTTGTATTTGCCCGAAGCACAGGGCACCCCTCCCCCCCACGGAGGTGAAGGGGCCTGTGCAGTTACGGTTGGCTTTGTGCGTTCACTTAGCTTATACTCAGGTCGACATACCACACCTTGTGCTGTAGTGTGAAACAGACTTCATTCTAACTTAAATTATGCCAACTAGGTGTTCTATGTAGTTGTCTGCAGTATTGAGCGGAGCAGGCATTTTAACCAACACAAGAAATTTAACTACCAATTGGTTATTCCTTTAAATAATATTCATTTAGTAGGTACATGTTTTACTCATAATTTGGTACTACCCTACTGTTAAAACTACTGTAAATGATTTTTATTAAAATTACAATTAACATGAAAGTGACTACAAATACATTCATTTATGATTAAATATTACATAGACAGTTCACGATTTTTATTGGCGAACCGATTATTAAATGTCTTTCATAGTTGTATCATCAAATGATCCACTTGCTTTGAATGTGCTGCTCTATAACCTCTTGACAATTAATCAAACATTATGTAAAACCTTCTAACACACCCCTCCGTTATCAGGACAGATGGTTGCAAGAGAGTGAGCAACAAAGGGTGCAAACCAAAGATCAACCTTCAACAATATTTTCCTCACCTTTTGTAGGGAGCAGTGTCACCGAGCCTCCAACACAGCAAGCGCAACCAGCTTCCATCTCTTTCTCTCTTCAGCAGCAACAGCAACCACAACCGTACCAACAAAACAATCCTTTGTTCTTGAATAGCCAGGCTTCCCCTGTATTCTCAAGTAATCAAAATACATCGCCTTCACCACCCATTTTCCCCAGTAATCAATCAACTTCGGCTTTTGCCTCGCCTCTCTCAGTTTCCCGCACTCTGGTTGACAATCAAGCGTACTCAGCCAAAGAAGCCTTGACAGAGGCGGAGCTTGTAGCTTTCCAAGCAGACAGGTTTGTACTTGGCTCAATACCAATTAAACCTCCACCAAGGATGTTTTGCAATATGTAATTCACTTATAATATGTTAAATATTATGAACTTTGTCTGGAAACATTAGCATTAAAGATTTTTCCTTTAGAATTTATGATATTTAAATTCCTTACGTCCCATTGATTGTTATCTGAAGAGAAAAATTATTTCTGTAGACTAACTTTTGGTATTGGAAAATTGATTTCAATACTTGCTTCGGCTCAATCCAAACTGTTGCCTGTACCGCAACTAGTTTTGACTTCTCATGAAGTCATCTTCAGGTGTTGAAGGATGTCATAATTCATTAATGTCCGCAGTTAATGTCTATGTTACAATAAATGAAAATAAATTCTTTTAAATACTAAACGTAGTTTGGAGGCTTACATCAAAAATGAAATTTGGCAGTGTCTTTTTTAATATTTTCATTTTTCTGAGAGGATTAAGTTAGGTAGTTTTTAAAATGTTTAGAACAAAATTTGAATCAACGATTTTAAACTAAAACAAAATGTAAATTAAATTGACAACATTTAAATTAATTTTTCATCTTTGCCAATGAGAACTTCAAAGAAAAAAACTATCAAATAAGTTCTTTAAGTGTATAATACAAGTATGGAACTGAGTATATATATTCAGGAGTTTTATTTAAAGCAAAAAGTTTGTTAAATGGGAAAATATAACACGGAGGATATGTCATGGTTTTTGTAATGGTTTGGGAAGACTTTGAGAAGCTTGGGTCAAAAAATTTCCAATTGGCAATCACCAATAGCCATGTGATGTCTGCAATGCTGACGGTAAGAAGACTAGGTAAGAAAGGGGAAGTGCTGTACATAAAAATAATATTTTTTTATAATATTCTCTGTTCACCGTTATTGATAATTTTATACGTGGATTTAAATCGTTTTGGGTCTTTTTTGGCGTGATTAATGCTGTAATAAAAAAAAAAAAATCATGTCTTCAAAGTTTTTGCTATTTTAAAAAAATTTACAGTATGCAAAGGACCAACCTAGCCCATTTGTTTTTGGACGAATCTTTACGACGTTAAGATTATGATAATGTTACTGCAGACACAGAAGATGATAATGTTAGTGCCACGATTACGGAATATTGTTAGGTAGGATGGATTTGTGATGAATACAACATGAACATACACTAAATTTACTAAACAATATTCAATCCAGATAAAGTGTCTTGTAAATAGTTGGTCAACTTTGGTTCTAAATAATTTAAAGGTTCTCAAACAATAGGCCTAGTGTGTTGGACTAGATATTCTACTTTAAATAACATCATCCCCACAATTTTCATTCAGTTGTGTGTTTCTCAGGGTAAATGATAATATTAATAAATGTATGATAATAAATAATGATAGACTATTAATAATGACTTATAAGTGGGTCCCGAGAACGTAACGTTTGGTGTTTAACGTAACCATGGGTATTTCGCTAAAAAGCATTGCCTTTAGAAAGGCGTCCCACCACCGAACCAGCTGCAATCAGGGGTTTTCCTTGAAGAACTTAATTGGAATTTTTTTTTAGATATATTGCTATTTCTCTTTTAGTTTTCACAACACAGGATTGTCAGGCTAGCCGTGATGTTGTAGTGTTCGCCTTCAAGGTTACTGCTTGATACCAGAGAGATAGTTTCCAGACCCAGATGCCATTGGTCATTTATAGGCTATCAATGAAGGTAACAAAATAATGGTGTATAATATATAATATAATAAGTAATTTTTGTCCTAAAACTTGCAACTCTAACAAGGGAATCGAGTATTTTTCATAGTCAGTGATTTGATTTCATGGCAAGAAAAGGCTAAGGAATAATCAACCGTAGCCTGCAGTTATCTTACATGCATTTAATAGTAAATAATTGATTGAATAGTACAAAGTGAAAAATCAGTTCCACAGTTACATTAATAATGAAAGTGTGATTCTAAGATGATCATAATACTCGGGTCTAACACGAGGGCTTCAGTCTACTTGTTGCCTCCCTGCTCCATCTGAATCACCCTGTTCTTGTGTCTTTCGATTGCTTCTTGATGTCGCTTGATCTGCTCCTCGTGGAAGCTGATTTCGTCATGCAAATCTTCTTTCAACTTCTCCAACTGAGCTCTTTGCTGAAATATAGTTTCAATTTACAATATTAAAAAAGTAGCCTACAACTTGATTTGCAATACTGAATTAGCAAAGCTTGATGATTTAAAATATGTATAATCGCTCATCAATGTTTCTTTGTCTAATGACTATGCCATGTTTTTTCAGCTGGTTATTAAATTAAAACTTATGTGTAATTTTCTTCTAAAACTTTTTTTGTGACTTATTAATGCTAGTCAGTTTCTAAATGATATAATTATTACCTCACTGTTCAAGGTGAATTTGGTATTTTTCTGAACAGTTGGGCTAAGAGTTCTACAGAGCATCCGGGATAACAGATTAGTAAAACCTGTAATATTAATCCATAAAGTTCTACCACTCAAAGTTTGTCATTTCCGTGAGTCACAGAAATTAAATTTTTATTAAATCAAATCATTAAAATCTTTAATGACTTCTTGTACTACTTCTTTAAGGAGAAAAGAAGAACTCTCAACAAAAACACCATAAATCTATTTAAAACCAGGCTCCATGAACAACCCTGGGATTGTGTCTACCACATAGAAGATGTCGATGAATCTTATAACAACTTTCACAGGGCTATCCAAGGAATACTAAATGAGACCTGCCCAGTAAAAATGACAAGGAGAAAACAACACAATCAAAAAAACTGCTGGGATGCTGAATGCTCTAGACTAAAAAATCTATATATAAATGCCCTGGAAAAAGAAAACCGCACAGGTCTACCTGAAGACAAAGCAGAAACCGCAGCAAGAAAAAGGGACTATGACCTAAGACTAAAGACTTTGAGGAAAACTCAAACATCCGACTATATAAGCAATGCCGACAACAAGTCCAAGGCACTCTGGCAGGTTATAAATAATGAGAGAAAATCAAGTACCAGTATAGCAAATGAGTGGGAACTCCTAGTAGATGGGGAGACATTACAGGACCCAATCAAAATAGCAAACCACCTCAACAGTTTTTTTGCTACAGCCGCGGAAAGGACACTTCAGGCAAACAACACCAACACACACACCAGAACCCCTGAAATTCCTCCTTTAACAGCTAACAAACTAAAATTTCAGCTTGCAACACATAACGAAGTACTAAAAGCAATAGACTCACTTAAACCAAAAACTTCATCTGGCACTGATGAAATATCAGCCAAACTGGTCAAAACATGCAAAAATGAACTGATTAACCCACTAACAGCACTCATAAATAAGTCTCTCAAACAAGGGGTCTTCCCAACACAGCTCAAAACTGCCAAGGTATACCCTAAATATAAAAGTGGACCAAACACAGATGCTAAAAGTTACAGACCAATTTCACTTATACCGACCTTCTCTAAAATCTTTGAAAAAATCGTCCTTAACAGACTAATATCCCATCTAGACCAAAACCTGCTGCTCACCAGCCAGCAACATGGCTTCCTTAAAGGAAGATCCACTTCCACTGCCTTAATACAGCTCACCGAGCACATAATAGAACAACTAGAAGACGGCTCCTCAGTCACAAGTCTGTTTCTGGACTTTAGCAAGGCCTTTGACTGCCTTAACCACAAGACACTTCTTAGAAAATTGGGAGCTCTGGGTATTGAGGGAAAGTCTAAACAATGGTTCCACAGCTATCTTAATGGCAGACAGCAACTAGTTGAGATTCAGCATGTAGAAAAAAACACTCGCCATAAAATACATTCCGAAACTGTCCCTATACGGAGAGGAGTACCACAGGGATCAGTTCTCGGACCAGTCCTGTTCCTCCTCCTCACAAATGACCTACCAGACCAGCTACAAGAATACTGCCAAACCACAATGTATGCAGATGACACTGTCATCACACTAACCGACAAATCAACGGAAACTTTAAACCGAAACATCAATATAACCTTCAACATGACTAAACTATATTGTACAGTAAACGAATTGGCTCTAAATGAAAAGAAAACTGTTCAGCTGAACTACTCTACTAAAAATAAAGACACAAACGTATTAATCCCTGGGATAGAAGCACAAAATAGTACCAAATATCTCGGCATTATCATGGATTCAAAACTGACATGGAAACAGCACATTGACCAACTCTGCAAGAAGCTACGCTCTGGCATTCATGTCATCAGGCGAATGAAGCAGGTTGGTGGTCTGGACACCGCAAAAACAGCCTACCATGCCCTGGTCGAGTCACACCTCAGGTATGGTCTGGTGGTCTGGGGAAGTACATCCAACAACTACCTAAAAAGAGTACTTATCCAACAAAAAAGAGCTATAAGATGCCTAGCAGGCCTTCAATATCAAGAAAGCAGTCGTGATGCATTTAAGGAACTAAAAATCCTCACACTGACATCACTTTACATCCGTGAGGCAATTCTCCATGCCATCTCCACAAACCAAACAAGAAACAGAGACATTCACCATCACAATACACGGAACGCCTCAAGCTTTGCAATACCACCTCACCATCTAAGTCTCTTTGAAAAGAAGCCATCGTACAAAGGGGCCCTGTATTTCAACAACCTACCAGAACAACTTAGAAATGAACCAACTCACCGTTTCAAGAACCAATTAACAACATGGCTGCAAGAAAGGCCATTCTACTCAGAAAAAGAATTCCTTGACAACCAGCTTTAACAACATATTAAATCAACAAATTTTAATTATTATTCTGACGCATGTACTGTTCTCAACGAATATGTAAATAAAGATCATTGTCTATTGTCTATTGTCTATTGTCTATTGTACTTTTTTTGTATCATGTGTATAAAAAAAATCATACATAATGTCACAAACAGTCTAATCTTGTTATAACAAATCTTAAGGGACCAAACTGAATTTTCCATAACAATAGTTATTTGTGCAACTAGTGAGAAAAGTGAGCAATTGACTCACTCGAGAGAAATCCTTACTCACGAGCCGTAGGCGAGTGAGGAATGGTTTCTCGAGTGAGGCAATTGTACTTTGAACTCGAGTTGCACATTATACTTTTCCTACAGTTACCATAAAACAAATAAACTTGTGAAGAAACATAACCTATTTTCACACAGAAGTGAACTTTTAATATAACATTTAATGTGAAGTGACAAATACAACAGTACAACAGCTGACCAGCTGATTTACAGCCAGTGCTGCCAACGTATTTCGCGCGCGTACGACGTTGCCTGCATGCTACGCACTCACTATTTCGTGCCTTCACGTTGCAAATCTGGAGTGAGACAAAGTAATTAGAGTGAGACACTGATGAGCGAATTTGCCACTTTGCTTTCTCAAATCAGCGAGAGAACATGTACATTGTTAGGTAACTGTAGGAAAAGTTCATTGTATTGAGGTTAGGTTTGAAGGAATTTTGCTAAATCAAGGTTTACAAAACAGCACCCCAGTCAATAGTCGAGATTTGTCCTCGGTAAAACACAATTAAGTAGCATTGGCTTAATTTATTTTAAAGTATTGTAATACTTCTTGACTTAACTTAATCTGTTGACTTTTTCTGGAGCATAGGGCCTTAAAATATCCCACACTGCTGTAATTTAGAATCTCTACTATCCGGAAATAGGCGGGGGGAGGGAGACCGCGGATAGTGAAATTTGTACAATTATTATTATTGCGCAATCATGCCATTTTTGGTCATTTATCTTGGTTCAGTTATACAAACTGTACTGTTTAAAATCATGGCTTACTCAAACTCACCTAAAAACTAACAAAACACTGTATAGCAATGAATCACGTAAATAATAAAGCGGCGGTAAGTTTTGTAGGCTACTGCTCTTGATAGGTCCATAGGCTCTAAACTTTATAATTCAATTCTATATTCTGATAGCTGGTGAGATGATCCACAAATTAATAATTTACATCATGTATAAGGCTTACATTATTTATTCATAACAGAACAAAAACCACTTTGTTTAAGTTAAGATAACTATGACTGATGTATATGTCTTAACCCTAAATGTTTGAGGAGCGAACTGGTCTAGAGGCTGAGCACAGGACTATGGTCCCCGAGATCCCACCAAATTTCACCAATCACCAAAGGATTTGATCATAATGATAATGCCAGGACCTTCTTGACCTAACCTAAAGTAGGCTAATGTATAAACAGTTCCAGGCTAGGGACAAGTGGCGTCCTAGGGGGGGGGGGGGGGGACAGATTAATATGCTGTAGGATTTCTATATACCTTTCTTAATAGTCAGCTGTCTCAGTTCAGATATATTATTATTTACATTTGTTGTTATGATTTGAGTGTTAATTCTAATTGTGAATAAAAGACAAGTACATGAAAACTATTCTTTTATTTAACACTCACACAACATATGCAAACATAATCAGTAATATTTTTACTTTGTTTTTTTTTTAATCATACAAATTATCAAATCAAAATTAAATCAAATCATTTATTATCAAGGACATTTACATGCATTGACATTGTCAGTGGAGCAGAACATAAAATTTCAATGTTCATTGTCTAAATAATCAGAGGTAACTTGGGTATGAGTCTATGTTGTACAAATTCCTTTTAACTACAGGGTTAACAATCACAATAGACTATAAACAATTTAACAAATGAACAATTAACAAAGTTGAAGAAAACAAAAATAGACTATATAGAAATAATTAACAGATTTGGATACAAGTTACAGACTTATCACAGGTTGTTCTAGGAACTCTTCAATACTGCAAAAAGGATTTCTTAAGAGCCAGTCACTGAATTTTTTAAAAATATTTTTTTGTGGATACTTATTTACATTAATAACAACTACCTTATTATAAGCTTTCTTATGGCTATTTAAAGATTTGCTCAAACGGAGGTGCTGGTAACTTATTTGATGTCTACCACAAGTATTGTAGGGATGTACATCTTCATTCAGGACCATGACTGGTAGTTTTTTTTTTAAGAATAAATAACAAGTTCTAAAATATAAAGGTTAATAACAGTAAAAATCTTTAATTTAATAAAAATAAAATTAAATTTTATTAAAGTTTTTATTAAATTTAATTTTTACGTTAGCTATTATCCTTTCCCCTTCTTTGAGTCTCATGAAAACCTTAGAACAAGCTTCCACTATCTAACAAGCAAATTTTGTATCAGATATATGTCATTGTATATGGAAGTATACGACTCAAGTTTTCTAGATTCTAAGTAAGGGAGGAAATTGGATGTTTTCCACACAAAGAGCCAGATTACGCTTGTTTAGTTTTTAATTTCGACTTGAGTATCCTAAGTCCTAAGTTTGAAAAACCTAAGGAAAACCTGCATGTAAATAATGACCTTTTAATCTATTTATTTATATAATTTCAAGCCAGGCAACTATTTTATAATAGAGAGAATAAAATAGTTTTATTGTTGAACCGGGGAAGATATTCCGCTTTGAGGATTGTCACCACATGTTTTACAAATCTGGTTCTCACCTGCTTGTAGAAGTATTCTTCTTCATTGGCTGCCTCCATTTTTCCAAAAGCTCCGCCAGCCGATCTGATGCTACCACCTCCGCCACCTCCCTTCCCTGCGCCACTCCCAAGATCTCCAATTTGACTCATGGCTCTTAGAGGGCTGCAGCAAGAGTTAACATTTTGGTAACAAACTTCCATTTTAATACTACTGTAATCCCTGGCCATGTTTAATTTTTATTATTAAAAAATTGATTTGAGATCAAAATGTTTGTGAGTACAAAGTAAGTCTAAAGGTATTTTACAGAGGGGCTAGTAAGTATTACAACTAGGGATTAAAAGTTTTTTTGTTTTTGCTACAGGTACTATAGTTTTGAAAACTTGGATTATATTAGATTAACCTTTGTTGTTGTTGCCTACATCCTCCCAATTAGTTCCAAGGTTTAGTTATGAAGTGCAGTTAAGTGAGTAATTTATTCACTTGAAGTCTTTATCCTTGACCGACACTGTTGGATAGATTGTGTCAATTTCACTATTTACAATATTTACATTTTACTGTGACATGGTGGATATATTTTGGGCCAAGGTTTGAAAATTGGCTCTTCATCGAGTTCCCATAATGAATATTGTGGCCTAGAGCTCCAAGAACAACCTTTTTAAATTTTGGTAGTTCCATCTCACACACTCGCACTGTATGAAAAACTTTTATTGCAGAGCGGGGATAACATTTTAGTGTAAGCAAAGAAAACATACTACTATAACCCAGAATGCCAACCGCATGGTAAAAAGCTTTAAGTGTTTTGAGAGAGCTTTGCCTGTCAATCGTAGGCAGCGCCACCAGCGTTGCCATGCACTCAGCAAAGCTCTCTGAAAACACTTAATGCTTTTTACCATGCGGTTGGCATTCTGGGTTATAGTAGTATGTTTTCCCTTCCGTGGTGTAAGTTACGACTCAAACAACAGCGTGGCATATCAAGGTCTTGTGTTCTTCTGGTGTTGTAGCTGTGCTGGTCTTCTTCATGTTCTTTTAGGAGGATGAGTTTGTCATAAACGTTTTGACTGTAGACGGCAAGTACCAAATCAAATAATTTATTCAGCCATTAAACACAATCTGGCAATAGGCCAAGTCAAGACAATAGTATTACAAGTTCTGCACAGAATTGCAGGGGTTGTCCAACAAGCACGATTTAATCCTCTGCTGGAACAACTTTTCTGGTAGAGTTTTCAGGCTTCAATCAGCCTATTTCACCCTGAAAATGGAGTTTGAAAACCGTGTTTATTTTTATTTTTTAATATTTTTATTTATACTTTATTGTGTTTTTACTATTATATTTAGGACATTTTAATTAGGTACTTTTCTTCTCTGGCACTTTTTCGGCAACTGCCGTTTTTACCCAGGATATCAAGTTTGAAAAATCATAAAAAAACTTGCAAAGTTCCGAAAATGCCCGGCCCACTCCTTTACCAAACTAAATATAATCTAAACTAACCTAACCTAACTTAACGTAACATAACCTTGGTTTAACAAAAAACCCGTCATTTTCGGCATATTGCTAACTTAACCCTCCAAGTGTCCATAGTATAGGCCTTAATGTTTGCCTATTTATTGCGCATTTGCAAGGTTTTATTAAAACGAATCTGAGAAGCTTAAAAACACTGTTAATTATACTGTTTTATATACCATTTTGTTTGGAAAATCACGGGCTTCAATATTATACATAAAACATAAAAAAACATTTGTTTCAAAAAATTTTGTTTGGAGAAATTTTTTTTTTATTATGGAAAAATTGGAAAAAAATAGGTTTGCGCTCAATAATATTGTGTAAATTATAGGCCTATAACTATTTGAAAATAGCCAATTTGTTCTAAATTTTATGAGGATTTCAAATATATAATCATATAGTGAGGTAAGTTATCAAATAAATAAGTTATGAGTGAAAAACATGTTTTGCGCATTAAAAAAAAAAAACACAATAAAAAACCCAAAAAACCAAGATCTTGTTGTTGGTTTGACAAAGTGAAGTTATCTAAATTCTTCTTAACATAACATAAAACACACAAAAACATATACATTTATCACAGTTAAAATCTTGGCTTGTTTGAACAAGGGCCTACAGTGCTCATCAGGGTCTACATTAAATAAAATCCTCACAGCCTTTTTCTGGATCACTAAAACTTCACTTATTTTTTAACTATTGCCCCAGTACAAAATAGAATAGAGCAAAACACTATGAAAAAAGCAAAATAACAAGATCGTAAGTAATGACTAGGTAGGCTAAATCTAAGGCGACGCAACATGTGAACAACTTTGGAAAGCTTTGAACAAACCTTAGTAACATGAGTATCCCTTAAACTAACTTAGGATCAAGATGGACACCTAAAAGTTCAACGCTACTGTCATCATCTGCCTCTTTCGGTGCTCTTACGTCTAGAGAGAAAGTTTTATTCTGTGTCTTATTCAAGTTAAGGAGAAATTTGTTAGCTGCATACCATTCAGCTGCCTCTTTAAGAACTACTTCATTCATGGTGCAATAAAGGTCATTACAATTTTTCTCGCTTCTAAAAAAAGTCGCATCATCAGCAAACATGGCAGTACTAGCAGAGACATTATCAGGCAAGTCGTTAACCATAACCGAAAATAGGAATGGGCCCAGGACCGAGCCCTGCGGTATACCGTACTCAACCTGGGTAGCGACTGACATTGAACCCTTAACACTAACTTTTTGTCGCCTATTTGTTAGATAGGATTCAAAAATTTTGATTTAACCAACTAATTGAAGCGCAATTATGAAGAAGTGAACAATTACTATCGTTCTTAAGCACATCTATGTTGAAGTCACCACACATAACAACTTTGGCTTCAAACTTACTGAAATAACTCAGTGTAGCCTCAAGTTGTTGCGCAGGAAAATTTTCATGTCACCAGCAGGAGATCTATATAGGGATAATACTATAATCTTAAAGTTGATAGCTTCACAGCACATATTTCAAAGTGAAGTTCAATACAGAAGGAGGATGTATCCAAAACTTCAAAGTCCGTAGCTGTGGAGATATAAATTGCCTCACCACCGTCGATAATGATTGAGCGACAAAAGATGCTCCCCAGGCTATAACCTTCAAGGTTATAAATATCGTAGTTGCTGCTATTAAGCCAATGTTCACTAAAGCACAATACTGAAAAATGTTGCACCTTGAACAGCATGTCCAATTCGTCAATTTTGTTGATTAAACTTTGAATTACTATAAAATATTGATATTTTGTTTAAATTAGCCTGCTGACCCTCTAGACTAGGGCTCGACTGTACTGCTAAAGCAGTTTCTCTAGTAATGAGATTCCAAAAGGCAGCTGTCAAAAATAGGTTCAAATAATGTATAGGGGAAGAATTTCTGGGGGGTACCGGTAAATCTTTGAGTCCTGTAGCCCTAACTTGAAACTGAGGTCTGACTTGGAGGTTCGGGGGGATATACCCTAATCCAAGGTATCTATAGGGGTAGTTTCGTGTTTCTATTGTGTTTTTAAACCCCTATGGTAAACTAAAGATTCTTTTGATATGAAGTAGTTTAGAACTGTGAAAGGTAGTATTCAGGTAGTTGTCTAAACAGGTAATAAGATATTTTTACAATCTTAAAAGCTACTAGACTGTTTTTTGCCTATTTATTGAGCGGAGCGAGCGAAGCTCTTATACGTCGACTTTTATGCATTTCGTAATACGCAAACTCCTCCTAGACGGCTGAATCAATCGATTTCAAATTTTGGATGGTAATAAAGACCATATCGGTGAGTGCCAACATCTATATGGCGTTAAAAATAACTCTCAGGAATCCGCCCCACTGGGTCTCAAAGTTTCAATGTAATCCTTATGGAAGCAGTATTTGACACATAAACAAAGACATATGATCAGCTGTTGACTTTTGAATGCAGTAGATAAATAAATAGCTGATAGCATTATTCCACAGATATTAGAACATAAACGGTGGTATGGATCATAAAATAATCAAATGACGACACTAGCTTGAGGTCCGCGACGTAGGAAGTGTTAAAGGAAGTACTAAAGGTGAACAGTCTGGATTGTGGAAACTGTTTATGACGATTAGATTTAGGTACCGGTATCTGCATTCCAAAAATTATAAGGGGAGGGAGGAAAACGGGTCTGCGACGTAGGAAGTGATGAAGGAAGTAGTCAAGGCAAGCTCTCCGGAGTGTGGGAACTGCTTATGACCATTATATTAAGGTATTTGCAATCCTATGATGCTATGGGAAGAGAGGGAAACATGTCCGTCACGTAGGAAGTGGTGAAGGAAGTAGTAAAGGCAAGCAGTCCGGAGTGTGGGAACTGTTTATGACGATTAGATGAAGATATCTGTAATCATAAAATGCTATGGGAAGGAAGGATAACGGCGTAGGAAGTGATGAAGGAAGTAGTCAAGGCAAGCTGTCCGGAGTGTAGGAACTGTTTATGACAATTAGATTAAGGTATCTGCAATCATAAAATTCTATGGAAAGGGAGGGAAACAGTTCCGTGGCGTAGGAAGTGGCGAAGGAAGTAGTAAAGGCGAGCAGTCCGGAGTGTTGGAACTGTTTATGACGATTAGACTGAGGTATCTGCAATCATAAAATGCTATGGGAAGGGAGGGAAACAGTTCCGTGGCGTAGGAAGTGGCGAAGGGAGTAGTAAAGGCGTGCAGTCCGGAGTGTTGTAACTGTTTATGAAGATTAGATTGAGGTATCTGCAATCATAAAATGCTATGAGAACGGAGGAAAACGGGTCCGCGACGTAGGAAGTTATGAAGGAAGTAGTCAAGGCAAGCTGTCCGGAGTGTAGGAACTGTTTATGACAATTAGATTAAGGTATCTGCAATCATAAAATTCTATGGAAAGGGAGGGAAACAGTTCCGTGGCGCAGGAAGTGGCGAAGGAAGTAGTAAAGGCGAGCAGTCCGGAGTGTTGGAACTGTTTATGACGATTAGACTGAGGTATCTGCAATCATAAAATGCTATGGGAAGGGAGGGAAACAGTTCCGTGGCGTAGGAAGTGGCGAAGGAAGTAGTAAAGGCGAGCAGTCCGGAGTGTTGGAACTGTTTATGACGATTAGACTGAGGTATCTGCAATCATAAAATGCTATGGGAAGGGAGGGAAACAGTTCCGTGGCGTAGGAAGTGGCG